ATGGTGTCGATGATCGCAAGACCATCTCATGTGTTATGGCATTCTTGATGACTGCTCATCCCCAAAGTCTGTAAGGCTTAACGGAGGCTGTGTGTACCTGTGTGTGTGTAGAGCGGATGGCTGCAACTTATAGCTCAATGAAGTGGCTTACGTGGATTTTTTTTATCGAAGCCAAATACTCGAAACGCATGTTTCTAAATGTAGAGGGAAAAACTGGAGGACCCGGAGAAAAATCTACGTGACCACGGTGAGAAGATGCAAACTTTAAATATACAGACGTCGGGGTCAGGATGGAACCCACAAGCTCTTATGGAAACCAAGCGAGATTTAAACTGGTATGCAGAAGGTCGTGGGTTTGATCCTGACCCTGATGCTTGTATATGTGGAGTTTATATGTTCTCCCCGTAGTCACATGTATATATGTTGAACTTCTTTCGCACAGTACATAGCCAACCGTGCTTATCGAAGGTGTGGGGAAAGCCTGGCTTTTCTTCCGGGTCCTCCGGTTTTTCCCTCCACATTTAGAAACATGCGTTTGAAAGTATTTGGCTGCTATACAATTTTCCACATGATGAGCCACTTCATTGAGCTACCAGTTGTGTCCAGGTCGCTTCTGAACAAGAGCTATATAGTTCATGGACCTTACCTGGTCAATAGAATAAAAAACCTAGTCCGAGTCGGACTAGAGTAGGCCCAGGCCAGATCTAGAGGTGTGAGAGTCCACAGACAGCGAGGCTGCCTGTAGTGCTGCGTGCACCGTGCAATGCCTCACCCATGCTGTTGCGCTCCTTGCTCACCCAGAAGATTCTCTCCCTCAGAGCCTCCACGCTCAAGTGCTGCCAGCAGCCCGAGCGACCTGCTCGCCACGCAGACACGTGCGCGGAGACACACACACACATATATATACACGCACACGCAGATACGCACTGACATACACACAACTGTCTACCGATACATATACATGTAGATACATACCCGAGACACACACACGCGCACGAATATACAAAACAAAGACAAAGATCCCCATATAGCTTTTAAAAGACTGTTGGTGCATGTGTTGTTAGCGAGCACCTATTAAGGCTGGCACGGCACAGGAGAGGGTGGTTGGCCAGCACCACGCTTGGCCGCCTTTGTCTCCCCAGTACTGATGTTTACACACTGCACAGGTACTAATTTGAGACCGGTTCAGATAAGACGATGTAACAATTTTTGTTCTTGGTAGTAAGTGTTATTTCGTAATTGCTTATGCATAAAAAGTATAGAAAATGCCTATTATTCCCTACAAACTTTGCTTTTGTGACCAGACAGTGATATTTTGAAATTTACCTATTTTCAATGAGAAAACTGGCGAATTTGTGTCTTTTCATTGACATAAAGTCAGAAAAAACAACATATGAATCAAAATAACATGCATTTATACTAAAGTAATACAAAATACTACAAAAGATTTAGAAGTGAGTAGTTTTTCGAGATTTACGATTATACTGTAAATCACTTTCACGAATCAGCCCCCAAATGTAGTCTCCCATCATGTTCTCGTTATACTGTCCTTGGTAGCGGCGTTCAAAGTCCAGTATATCCTGGTGGAAGCGCTCGCCTTGCTCCTCCGAGTACGCTCCCATGTTCTCCTTGAATTTATCAAGATGAGCATCAAGGATATGGACTTTGAGGGACATCCTACAGCCCATTGTGCCGTAGTTCTTCACCAGAGTCTCAACCAGCTCCACATAGTTTTCGACCTTGTGATTGCCCAGGAAGCCACGAACCACTGCGACAAAGCTGTTCCAAGCCGCTTTCTCCTTACTAGTGAGCTTCTTGGGGAATTCATTGCACTCCAGGATCTTCTTTATCTGTGGTCCGACGAAGACACCGGCTTTGACCTTTGCCTCAGACAGCTTAGGGAAGAAGTCTTGAAGGTACTTGAAGGCTGCCGACTCCTTATCTACAGCTCTGACAAATTGTTTCATAAGGCCCAATTTGATGTGCAGTGGTGGCATCAGCACCTTCCGGGGGTCCACCAGTGGCTCCCACTTGACGTTGTTCCTCCCCACAGAGAACTCGGTCCGCTGTGGCCAGTCCCGCCTGTGGTAGTGCGCCTTGGTGTCCCTGCTGTCCCAAAGGCAAAGATAGCAGGGAAAAAAACCGCCTTGGAGACCCATCAGGAATGCCACCATTTTGAAGTCTCCGATGACCTCCCAGCCGTACTCATCATACTTCAAGGCGTCCAGCAAGGTCTTGATGCTGTTGTAATCCTCTTTGAGGTGCACCGAGTGAGCCAGGGGAAGAGACGGGTACTTGTTACCATTATGGAGCAGCACGGCTTTGAGGCTCCTGGATGAGCTGTCAATGAAGAGGCGCCACTCATTCTGGTTACAGGCGATTCCGATTGCCTCGAACAGACTGGTCACATTGTGGCAGAAGCAGAGCCCATCTTGACGGGTGAAGAAGCTGCAAAAAGGTTGGTGACGCTTCCTCTGATCTGCGACTTGCACACTTTCATCCAACAAGTTCCACTGCTTGAGCCTAGACGTCAAAAGCTCGGCATTGGACTTGGTGAGACCAAGATCTCTGATCAAGTCGTTGAGGTCTTTTTGGTTGGGGTAGTATGGGTTTCTCTCCTCAGCTCCACCTCTGAAATTGTCATCTGGATCTACGTCTTCCTCGCTCTCTGACTTGCTGCTCTCTTCTAAAGACGGCTGCTCTCTCTCCGGAGGAGTGGGTACGGGGAGCTCATGGCAGTGTGGCACCGGGGCGATGGATGGAAGGTCCGGATACGTGATAGCAGGTGCATTCTTGCCAGTCCGACGTTTGGAAGGGTCCACCATGCAGAAGTAGCAGTTGCTTGAGTGGTCAGTGGGTTCCCGCCAAATTCTTGGGATAGCGAACTTCATGGCTCTCTTTTCCCCTCTGTACCATCCTACAAAAAACATTTATTTCACCCATGACTAATGTGTAAGAGATTCTCGCAACATTTTTCATGTATGATAAATTTTTCAATAACATTGAAAATTGTAAAACATTTAAAATTAAAACTTTTACAATTAAAAAATGTAACAAATTTTATAACATAAAATTCCGAGCAACAATTGTCCATCTTACCTTCCAGAGTTTTTTTGCATTGCTCGCAGGTGAAATGATAGTTTGTCTTGATCCCGACAGGCATGCCGAAATATGCCTTGTAGGCCTCACACATCTTAGCAGATGCTTCCACAGAGTACTTTTTCGCTCTTGTCTTGATAAATTGGCCGCAGACATAGCAAAATGCGTCTGCCGGATGCTTGCAGCCTCTTGATGCCATCTCAGAAAAATGCAGATATGTATCCACTTAGGCAGCTGGAACTAAACTGAACTGGTGGGCTTAAGGCCCCTGTATTTATACTATTTATATTACTGGAAAGTTCTAGAATTTCTAGAAGTTACTCCAAGTTTACTCAGCACTGAATCTGTCTGGAATGTTCTGGAAAATAGGTAAATTTCAAAATATCACTGTCCTGGTCACAAAAGCAAAGTTTGTGGGAATAATAGCCATTTTATGTACTTTTGAGGCATAAGCAATTAGGAAATAACACTTACTACCCAGGAACAAAATAAATAAATAAATTGTTACACAGTGTAATCGCCACTGGTGTTGGCCATGAATGGGAATCCGATCGGGTCGCTGGGTTGGTAGTGCAACGTGCTAACCACTACACAACGGAGATACACACCGTTACACACACACACATCTATCCAATGATACATACACATACGCAGAATCACACCGAGACACACACACATATATACACACACACACAACTCTCTACTGACACATGTACATGAAAAAAGCAGCACAGTATACAATCTATACAAGACTCCTACACATTAAAACACAAACAGTTTGCAGCAATACAGCCTTATCGCACACACGTGCACGCCACAAGGTTGTGTTGTAACATATTCACAAAACAATAATTAACAACTTGAAACCCTTTGCCAATCCACTGCTGGATGAAGGCCTCCCCACGCCTGGTCCGCTCATGGTCAATACCGATTGGTGAAGTGGGTGGGGGGCGGGGTGGTCCATAACTGGTTCAGATGTCGCTTGCAAACTTACATTAGCAATGGCCGGGAATCAAACTCAGGTAGGCAATGCTTCCCAACTCACAACATACCTCTGATCATTAAATCGCTACGTGTGATAGCATTGGCCCAATATTAATTTGCGCTAATGCTGTGCAGGGATTACGCCTGAGCGCAGGACGTCTTTTGTGTTTCAAACATGGTGGTGTAGTGGTAACACGTGCGCCTCGCAGCGAGAAGGGTCTGGGTTCTATTCCAGACTCGGGTGGCTTTCGATGTGGAGGTTGTATGTTCTCCCCTGTTCTACATGTGTTTCCTCGGGGTTATATGGTATCCTCCCATAGCTAAAAGAAACCATACAATGTAAATGCTTTTGGCCAAACATTGCAATGCTGAAATATTACCTGAAAATTACTCAATTGGATTGCAAATAGCAACATTGCCCCCTAACTGTTAAACTCGAAAGGACAATCCAAAAAGAAGAAGAGTTAAGAGACTCAGTGAGGCTTTCCTGGGTACACAAGCATAAACACGTAAATTATTAATTGAAACCAGACCCGTGTTCTATGCACAAGTTGCCATGTGACCACAATACGTGGGAAACATGCGGAATCCTTCACGAAATACACGGTTATCAGCTCACCTGCTTCCTCTAAGTCAACATGATACTGAGGAGAAAGGCTGCATGGAAGGCCACACAATAATACTGTGCGGTCATGCAAATTGTAATTAGAAAGTTGCTGCAATAACTACACGAAATTCATCGCCACAGCACACATGGACACACAAATAAAACTTGTCATGCTGAAAACGAATTAGTCGGTAACTCTGCATCAATGTCCTTCTGAAATATTGAGGTTGAACCCATTGTAACGTTTACTCACGATAAAGCCAAAACTAAAATGGTAATAATCTTCCGTTGCTGACAAATACCGCCTAATCTATTGCCGGCAGACTCTCACGGGAGGCATTGTGGGCCTATCATAGCGCAGCAGATAGTGCCAAGCTCCAGCCTCGTAAGGGCTCATCAGTGAACCATATGCAGCTACAGACGATGGCAATGTTTTCGCAAAGGGAACCCCAACTGGGATGCGGGGGTCTTCACATTTAAGTAAAGAATTTCTAGTTGTTCTAACATGACTGTTTTAAGAAAGCTTGCAAAGATATATTAATAACAACCAATTAAAACACATTTTAAAAATGATAGCATTTAATTAATGTTGCAGCTGTGACTCCAAGGGAGGAATCGTAATGATGAGTCAAGGGCGGCCACCTGCGCAGGGCAACCGCGTGCCAACGGAGACGAACGCCGGCCCAGCATTCATGCGAGCTGAAATACTGACCTCTTGTACTTGTTTTTGTATATTAAGTGGCATTTTTATTTTTGGTTTAGCATGAATTATGGCAAAAGAAGAACTTCCCCACTGATTATTGTTAAAAACAACACGATATGTGTTGGATGGACATGTAGCATAGTACTAATCTACGTATGACAGCTATGACAATTACTGCTATACCTCCGATTAGCGCGGTTGGACACGTACGATGCAAACCAAGTTCAACACACATACATATTGAAGGCAGACTGAAATAGAGGCAACGAGCAGGGTGGCGTGTGTTCAGAAAACTATAAAGATAACGAACACAGGAGTTGAGCGAGGCAAGCACCACCGCTGCCGTTTCAATGGTCAGCTCACACGGCCGCACGCACTGCTGCAGGTGCATGTGCGCGGCACTCCAGCGGAACAGTGGTGGATGCTCCACTGCAGAGCACCTCTTCTAGAGAATGCCACCCAAGAAAAGATGCCACTTTCGTGGATACGTAATGAGGTCTTGTATCCTGGGCTGTACAAACTGAAGTTTGAAGCTTTGTTAAACCAGCGAGGTATTAAAATGCACGGTAGCCATGCCCCGTTGATGCCACTGGGCGATTGTGAATGTCGATTTAACGGCACAAGTTTTTCTTCCGATTTCATTCCAATGACGGAAGAAAAACTCAAATGAAATAACTTTATCAGTATGTCTTCAGGTCAGAAGACGTACCATGGCTCCCACAAGGGAGGCCGTGGCACAGTTTGGCGGCAGCTACCTTAAATGCGGTCGTGTCACGACAGGTCTCTGCTGTGAGTACAATGTCTTTAAGAAAACGGCGCTATGCTCTCTAAATTAAAATTAATTCCAACCGCTTGCGCGTTCCGAGATTCAGCGGTGAACGGGACACCCACCCTGTGACTTGCAGACATCTCGTAACGGAAAGGGTTAAGAGAGAGCAGTTTGTGTTTTTGTGTTCGTCGGCAGTCGTGAGGTCATGTGGGCAATGGGTGCAAGCCGGCAAGAGGAACCAGCATGGGGCACGAATGTAAGGTAGCGGTGGGAGTGATGCGTTAGTGGTGGAGCCATGAGGGGGCAGGAGTAGGAGGGGGGGTGGGGCTGACCTTTGAGCCGTCGCTTGAGCACCGCCTCCTCCAGTCTGCTGCACTCGATCTGCTCGTCCAGGTTCTCCAGCAGCTGCAGACGCCCAGAGTGGTGGTCAGCGCACCCAGCAAAACACAGCACAATAGCTAGATTGAGAACAAACTCCCACCAATGCTCCTATTAACACCACTGCCTATACATGGGGGTGTCCTGGGTGGCTCAGGGGATTAATGTGCAGGATCAGAGGCACTTGAGCCAGCATCGTTGAGATCCTGGGTTTGAATTGGGTTCTCAACTGCCCATGGTTAAACTGGGTTTTCAAGTGTAGCGATGTTGATCATCTCCGCCCAGTCGGCAGTGAACGTACAAGCAAATCTATTTCAGCTCTGAGGAGTGGAATTTTTGTTTTGGTTGCTATGAGGCAAATTCTCTTTCTGGGGCCTGTGAGAAGATGTGCTATCTGGCCTACGAACGCAATTGTTTTCTGCCACGATGTGATGCACCGTTGAGTGCAATGCTTCTGAAAATAAATATCTCGATTTTCAAGGCTTCATGCAGACGTCACAACTGGAATAGAATCAGGAAAATAAAACGGTAATATTTAATTCGTGGGTTGTTTCTTCCACAAAATTAATGCGAGGTAAGCCGGTCTGTTCGTAAAACGACTACTTTCTGAACACAGACTATGAGGCATGCGGCCGTGTGCATCTTCAATAATAAATTCACCGTTTGAATGGATTTTAGTCAACACTCCGAAACAACAATAAACACCCAGAAGGAAACAGCTGTGGTTGTTTGTTTCCTACGTGTGATGTGGGCCCACGCGAGGTCACCGGAAACAAGGCATACTAAGAGGAACCTCTTTGTCCCAACCGTGACACCAGGCCAATTGTTTTTATCAAACTTGGAAGGGTGACCACAAAGAGCAAAAAGACAGGGGGCAATTAATGTCGTGGGCAGTGGGCGGCAGTGCAATAAAACACAATGTCGTTCTGCAATCCCGCCCACCGTCGTCAACCCACACTGACCAGCATGGTGAAGTATGGACAAATATCCCTCGCAGCAGCCCACAGGGCGCGGGGAAGCCCTCATCCAGCAGTGGAGTGACAGAATGGGTTGATTGGATCAGCTTAATCACCAGCGGACACTCGAAAAAGTGAAAATATTCACAGCCAAAGGGACACGTTCAAGATGTGTGAGAAGTCGGATTATGGTATGGGATGTGACTTAATGGATTAATTTCTCTGTTTCGTTATAACTTTTAGTTGTTTTTGCGTTTAGTTCATTTAATTATTTTTATTTATAAGGTTTTTAATTCGCTTGGTATTCGCTATAAATAGGATTTGGCCTTATATATAATTAATGTAGCGCGTTGTGGGATGCAATTAGCTTGAATGATGCTATGTAAAATGAAATCATTGTTATTAATGCCGCTTAGCCCTGTGCACGCCCACAAATTGAACCCAAATCGCCACTGCAATTGCAGCACAGTGCGTAAAAAACCACGATTTCACAACTCGACGTCTGTTGTGCATAGACACACACACACACCACGATGGTTTCACCTTCGTGCGAGCCACCAACCCTTGCCTCCAAGCCTTCTCATCCTCACCAAGTGTGCACTGGCTGTCGGGACATTTCCGAGCGAGCGACCGCGCTCCAGCTCCAACCAGTTCAGTTGGCTCCTCGTCCATAAAAGCAAAAGTACACCCTCTGTTTAATGCCATCTTGTCCCTCCAGCGCCCATCCACTCGCCGGGTAGTTGTTTGGCCTAAGCGAGTAAACAGTGCTGCAGAGGCCCACAGGCTCAAGTCGCACACTAAAAACCCGGCGAGATCAACATTACCCAGATTTTCCCACACGTTTACGGTCACATAATTGGCAAGGCAAAGCCTAATGCTACTTTTATAGCCTCAATTTATTTTCCCGCCCCCCTCCCCCTCCACCACTTTTATTTCACCGGGTCGCACTGTGGTTTGGAGTGCCGGGCTTGGACTGAGAGAAGGTCAAGGGTTAAAATCCCTGTTGGGAGGCCGAATCGGCTAACCCCCCCCCCCCCAAAAAAAGTGCCACAGCTTTGCGGGGAAGTCAACAAGTAGTCGTCCAATTGAGAGCACGGTCTCTGCCATGGTAATATGGAATTTCCACCGCTGGGTGTGGGTTACCAAATGAGATGAATTGCAGCCCAATGGCACGTTTGCGCGGGGAGACACTTTGATTTGAGAAGAACTTTGACTCAAGATAAACCTTTTGTCTTCTCAGCCAGAGAGGACAGAATTGTCCCAAGCTACAGTCGCCATCTAGAGGCAGCATAGGACAAGGCAGGGGTGGCCAAGCAAACAACAGCGAGAATCCACCCGGCAAAAATCTCTGACCTGGGGGGCCCGTCACTATGACCCCTGACCAAGTGTTTGTGAGTAACGGCACAACACGTATCCCATTTTACCAGCACACGGCAGACTTACTTCCCAATTTCCCATCGTTCACCTCAATTTGTGAGCAGTGGGATTCATGTCGGTTGAGCGAAGCACTTAACGAAATCGAAGATGACCCAAAACGACCCACACCGGCATTTTAACTCGCGACCTTTCGATCGTGAGCCAATGGTTCAAATATCGGCGCCACCCGGCCGGATCACTGTTCGCATAACCTACGTCCGCGATTGGGGTAGTCAACGGTGGTCGTCCAATAGACCGGAATTGCCACTGCTGCCTCAGAGGACTGTCAATGGAGACGAGTGCTGACACATTGCTCGTCAAAGCAGGGAGACACGACGACACGACTTTAATGCGCAAGCCTGTGTCATCACGTACACCTCCGTGTCAGCAGTGTGTCGCTGTATCCACCCTGGCGCGGTGCATGTTGCCGCTCGTGCTCTCGGCACGCGCACACACGAGCCGGAAGGCGCACAGAATGAACGTGGCGATGGTGGAAGCGTGCGCAAGTGACGGCATCTCACCCGCGGCTTCACCAGCAGTTGACCCGTCACCCCGAACATCCGCGACAGGCCCAGCGGCGTGCAGACTGCGCGTCAAACAAGAAAGATCAGAAAGATCCCACGCATAGCCTTAAAAGACTGTTGGGGCAAGTGCTGTTAAGCGAGCACCTATGAAGACCGGGGTTAGTGGCCAGCACCATGCCCGGCCGCCTTTGTCTCCCAAGGGGCGATGTTTACGCACCACACCAGGTACTCATTTGAGGCCGAGTCGACAACAACAACAACCGACATTCGCCACTAAGTGGCAGTGACGTCACCACGACGCTTGTGCCAGGCTATATGCACCTTGAGGCCACGTGAAGTGTCGAACGCCCGCTGGCAGGTCACGGGGCAGACCCAGGTGCCATGGGTCGACTGACTGAGATGACTGAGATGACTGGCTGATGCACCATCTGTGCCCCCTACTGTGCCAAATTGCTGTGCTTTAGCCACCCGGCGCTCCGCTCGTTGTTGTGAGCGTTGCTCCTCCGCCCTCCGTTGTTGTTGGAGGGCGACTGCCTCCAACTGCCCAGTAGCGTCCTTCACGAGCCTTCGCCACTGAGGCCGATCTTGACACCGCTGGTACCAGTCATCGGCAAGTCCACTCAGCTCCACGTCCATTTAGCCCCCTCTATCTGGCCGAACAAAAACTGTTTAGGCATGTGGTGGCTGGCCATGCGGGCTACATGACCCAGCCAATGCAGCCTTGCCTGCCGGAGGAGCTCACCAATGGGACTTTGCACAGATCTTTCAAGGATTTGTGAGCTCCTCTCACAATCCAGCCTGGTTAAACCCAGGATGGATCATAGGCAGGCCAGCCTAAATGTTTCTAACCGGCGAAAATGTTCCATTAGGGGGGTCCACGTTTCGCAAGCGGGACCCCTAATGAAACATCTTCGCCGGCTGAGTTGACCCACGCACACACATACACAGCAGCAGCACAAGCAGCTCGTAAGCGCTGATAGATCTAGATTTAAAAGTACATCAGTCCAGTATACTTTCTAATATCAAAAGGAAGAGCGTTCCAGATGGCTGCAGAAGCGCATCTAAAAGCACACGTTTCAATGACCGTCTTTATTCAATGGTTAGCCAAAAGCCACTGCGAGGATGCTCTTTGAAGGGATCGGCAAGCTACTGTGGTTCATGGTTCATTTGTGGCAAGCACTTTGTGTGTAATGAGTGGTGCAAGAATGCAGGGGTGGTAATGGAACTGGGTGGCCAAATTGTTCGCACGTCACACTTTTGGACCAAAGCGGTGCGAGCACCTGCAGTGCGGAGAAGCCGGCGGTGGGGGTGACTTACCCAGCAGCAGGAGCACCCCAAAGAGGGAGATGCAGGAGTAGAGATAAGGCAGGTAGAAGTCCCACAGGCCTAGGGGCAAACACAACACTTCTTAACATGTAGGTTCTCGCAGACAATTTTACGATTCACAATTGATTTTTGGGTTAGGTCATATCATGATCTGGGAAATCTTGTGTCAGAAGAGCCCCCACCACCCAACACAGACAAACAAATTAAATTGTGAAGCAAACAATTATGATTGTGTCTGTTTGCTGGTAAGTTGAAGAGCAAATTTCACAACCAAATTCATCAATTAGATTTGAGGTTTTTCTTGAAACTGCATCAATAACCTTTGTTCTTACTTCCTGGATCAATTGACCTCTGGTCCATACTTCCCACTCACTACATTTGCGAGTGAGGTTCATCACATGACAGTGAAACCGACATTGGAATTCTCACAGCTCGAATTAAGTGCAGTAGCAAATTTAACAAAACGATTCTTCTTTCGTGCAATAATTGGTCACCGGGTTGAGACCATCAATTTGCTACACTTGAGAACAGAGTTGGTTGAATCAGGCAGCCGTCTGGATTCGAAACCCAGGACCTCAGCAGTGGCAGCTCAGCGCTCTGACGTCTGAGCCACAAGAATTGGGTGTGAGGTCAACAATTGTGTGCGAGGTCAACTAGTGCCTCACCGCGTAGGGACTTGGTGCTGGCTGGATCCTTGTCGATGATGGATGATGCCACCCACACCATGCCGAACACGAGCAGCACGAGGAGGCACAGCACCACGGCTGCCTCGTACACACGGCCCATCACTCCCTGCAGCAACATGGCACACAGACAAAGACATAGATCCTCTGTGTAGCCTTAAAATACTCAGTTTAACACGTAGGCTTTCGCGACCAATGTTATTCATAATCAACGATTTTTGGGTTTAGATCGCGTTTATTTATAAATGTGTCGTAACCCTCCACCACCCGACACGGCCAATCAGTAAAAATATGTCACGTTGACAAAGACAAATAGTTCACTGCTTTAGCCCACCGGTGTGTTGAAGCAACAACATTAATTGTGTATGTGGCAGATGCTATATTGGACAGACAGGGCGTAACGTTAGTGTAAGACTAAAAGAACACCAGAGAAATATTAAACTATCACAAACACAACTGTCGGCAGTAGCAGAACATGCATGCCAACAGGGACACTCAATTTATTTTGACAACGTGGAAGTGTTGTGTAAAACTAGTTACTACTGGCAAAGACTAATTAGAGAATCGATTGAAATTGAGAGAAACAGAAATAACTTTAATCGCTCAGACAGCTATAGGCTTAGTGCGGCCTGGAAGCGTATTATTAAATAAGATACATTACAATTACTTATAAGGGAAACAACCACTAACCGATTACTAATGTAGCATAATCACAATAAAACACATTCCAAATGATTACTAATCTACAAATCGCATCGTAACAATAGCCTGATTACTAATCTAGTATATAATTACAATCACTCCCCCTTGAATCTTTGCACCTGATGAGTTAATGAGTTAATGATGACGTCACCCTGCTGCTGCTCTATATAAGAACTGGAGACACAGCAGAGCCTCACCATTCTGGCGAATTGCCCGATGATGCTGATTGCAATTACCAGCGAAACGTCGTACTCAAATTGTAAATGTTGTTGCTTCAACACACCGGTGGGCTAAAGCAGTGAACTATTTGTCTTTGTCAACGTGACACATTTTTACTGATTGGCCGTGTCGGGTGGTGGAGGGTTACGACACATTTATAAATAAACGCGATCTAAACCCAAAAATCGTTGATTATCCTTAAATACTGTTGGGGTAAGTGCTGTTAGCGAGCACCCATAAAGGCCGGCACGGCACACGAGGAGGTGAGTTGGCAGTACCACGCCCGGCCGCCTTTGTCTCCCAAGTGGAAATATTTACAGACTGCACCTGGTACTCATTTGAGGCCGAGTCGACCTAGAGGAGGCCCAGAACCGGTTTAGATCATTGTCACTGATGGTGTTTGCGGTGGGGGGGAAGTGATCTTTGTGTTTTGTGACGAGTGGACTGACCTTGCGGGAGCCAGTGAAGCCCTCGGACTCAATGAAGAAGTAGGCGAATGGCATGAGCAGCACCAGGGAGAGGTTGGAGCACAGGAAGACCAGGTTCCACAGCCCTGGGCAGACGACAGCAGAGAGAGCCTCCGAATAAGACGATGCACCCCCAACTTTCAGTTTATGTGGGAAAATAGTGCATTGAATAATTGAGGGAATATGTTACGTCGAAATTTAAAGAACTTCAAAGGAGTGCGACTTGATTTTATTATTCGGGGTGACGGGTCCATTGGCATCGTTGATAGTTTTAGCTGCAGTTTGCATTTTGCTCAAACGCAATGCTTCGATTGTAATCAATAAATACATAAGACATCGCTATCGTACGATGATTTGAATGTGACTTCTCTGTCACATGGAGCTTGTGCAGCACGGGAGGCGAGTGCACGCAACCCCTGGGTATGGTGGCACTTACCCGTGATAGTGCTTTCAAAGTTGGATTGGTGGATCATGCAAAGATCATAACTTTACTGGGCCTCTCCAGCTGTTGCGCTATTAGTTGGCCAGGAGATGGCAGTAAAGCATGTGGGTGCTGTCTATTTGAACTTTGTTGTCTCCAAGTTTTTTCCCCGCTGGTTATTCCATTGCCTCCCACGCACAAAAACTACCAAACATTCCGACGCGGGACGCTGAAAAAACTCCTCCACTGGGTTTAACCGCGAGTCGCCCGCGGTGCGGCGTTCATGTCGTGGCCATCACGGCAGGCAGGGGCGTGGGCGAGCGTGGTGCACGCGGCCGGCCAGGGGGCGACTATACGCAAGAGAACCACGCGCGCGCGCGAATAAACCGTGCGAGCTAACGCGAGCGAGAGAGTGCACCGTGCGAATAAGTGAACCGCTCACGAGTGAGCACGTGTACTGTGTGAGCAAGCGGATGAGTGCCACATTGCGAGCAAGTGAACCACTCATGAATGAGCGACTGCACTGTGTTGCTCGAGTGAGTGAGCGAGTTTACCGTAGGAGCGATCGAGAGCGAGCGTACCGTGCACGAGCGAGCCGTTGAGCCACTGCATGTAATAGCTGTGCGGGAACGACAACAGCACCTCGTTGCTGACAATGGAGAAGGGTAGCAGCAGGGCGGCCGCGAGGGACACGGCCAGCGTGAAGGTGCACATCCACAGCCTGCGAGTGCGCCAGCACGTGTGGCAGACACCACCGATAGGATTATCACGACAGCACAACATTGCCAAGACGGCACAGAATTGCCGCGACAGCACAACATCGACACTGAAAATGCATTCAGCGTCTAGCTGCGACCGCATCGGTAACTAAGGAAGGTACCTGCACTGTGAGATACTGGGAGAAGAGAAGGGGACATGGTTAATTTTAGAAAATGGTTAAGATTAACAATGCACCTTTTTGCATACTATTATGCTGTCAGATCATGCAACAACATTCTATACGCTCGAATTCTATGCAATGCAATGCAGTGTCACCATCAGCACCAAAAGTCATGATCAATCGACTGTTGGATGAAGGCCTCCCCCCAAGTCGATGCCATATCTCATGGCCTTGAAGTGTAATATTCCACAGGGCCACCCGCACACCATATCTTAATTGGAGGCATTATATTATTGTTATTTTGAATCCTGCTGTGGCAGTGCACAGGTGTGCAAGCCATGCAGAGGTTCAGGCCATGCACAAGTGCAAGACATCCCGTGGCACTACTTACGACTGCGCTGGCCTCTCCCATCCTCGTGCACATTTAACACCACCTGCTCCAGGCGTAGTGTTGTTGTGCACCGATAAAGTCGCCGTACTGGTTTCTCCAGTTCACCTTTTGCCAATTGTTTCCCTTGCTTGAATGAGTTCTATTGGTGGTTAAAAAGCTCACATTTTGAACTTATTTTGCACCTTACGTAGTCAACCGTGACAATCTGAGGTGTGAACATGGAACTGAATAAAGATGCACTCATGTCAACGGTGGCTGTGCTGAGAGCATCCAATCTCTCTTTTAAAAAAATTAGTGAAATCATAGATGATCGCAAACCAGGCTTTGAACCTACAACCTCACAGCAGGTGGAGGCTCAAGTGCACAGACAAGAGGATTCAAAGCTCCCAATGACACCCGGGACCACACCAAAGCTTCATCGTAGATGACCGGGCGTGTGTCCTCAATGTGAAATCATCCAAAGGGCTACGTAACCTTGCCACAAGATTCCCGTACATCAATGTTCCTTTTTAAGCTGCGACGTGGAAAGCACTGCGTTTATTACTCACGCGATTCTGTTCACCATTGCATCTTCATCATCTCCTGCAACACAAGGCACACTGGTGTTTACGCAGGATAATAAAATGCAATGGTCGCGGCGCATGCGTTAGGAGACACCTCGATGGTCACGGCCGGCTCTCGTGGCATGTGTTGTGAACGCTGCCCGTTTCTAAATGTAGCCCGCAATGTGTAGAACGGCAAGACCAGGCGCAATCATGCCCCGGCATCGTGGTGCACTTCAGCAACAACTTCACAGGGAATTCGTGGAAGAGGGAACACTCATTTTCATTTGACTTATTAATAGCGGATGGGTGGAGTGGTGGCGGAGTGGTTAGTGCACTATGCTACGAATCTAGCAACATGAGTTTAGAGTCTCAGCCACGGCTTAACAGTATGGTGAAGTATAGTCAAACCCCCACTCCATGGGAATGCCTTCATCCAGCAGTGGATTGACATAGGGCTGTACATTTTTTTAATAACATATCTCTAATTTAATTTTTTTTATTTCAATATAAAAATTATGAGAATTTCCTATAAAACCTTTACAAAATGTTGGCATCCCTCACTGTTAGTGGCTGCCCCTCACATATAACACACTACTGCCTAGTAACACTGCTTTAATGACCAGAGCCTCTCAACTGAAGTCTGCTTTGCTGAAACAAAGACACGGCCTGAAATGATAACAATGTTGAATTTTACTTTGTGTACGTAGGCTGTGTGCCCGGGGCTGTAAAACACAGGCTTGCAGCTTCTTAAGTGAATACAAATACACCATTGTTACGGTCACGTAGGTCAGCAGTACACTCCAGTGATGTCACTGTGATGCCAATCCCGTGCATTTTAAACTCAATTCAGTGACGTTACTTCAGTGACGTCACTCGAGTACCAAGATAGAACACCAGAGAGTGAATCACAAGCATTCTGTTTGCCTTTCGCAAAGCTGAATGAGAAACGCCGAACCCGCCCAGGATGCTCAGTCGAGTACACATCTACACAGCACTGTGTTTGACTGCGGCCACATCTTACTTTCAGCAAAGGGTATTAAAAAAAAACATCGGTTCAAAAGATCCACGTTATTTAATTTGGGAGGCAAAACAGAAACATTGTACGTTTATTTCTGTATTATAGAGCCATCAAATCAGTCGGGCCCAACTTTTATCAAAGTAACCGCTGCACGTAACCACCACCCTGCCGTGGACATCAATCTCCGTCAGTAATCAAGGGGACCCGTGAAACAAGATCGCTCTTGTTGTGCGGTGGGGCAAGAAGGCAAGACAAGAAGCCTCTCCACTGAAGCGGCACCTTCCCTGTTAAACCCTCCGGGGGTCCTGGCAAGCACCACGCACATAGTGGCCTCCACTGGGTGAGGGGGGGGGCTGTTGCTCTGTGAGCATGCGTGCCGCGACGGTGGGGATAGGCGAGGCGAGCGTGGGCCACATTTTCTGGCTGTTTATCACCAATTCTCTTCCAAGACGACGTCCCGGTCAGCGTGGAACAGTTTTGATCAAATATCCCTCCAGAGGGGCGCTCTACAGAACTCCCTCGAGCAGAGTCCCTGCTGCCACCAGTGGTGTGAGAAAGTAATCAAGGGCAGGGTTTGCACCATCCACCTTTTTTTGTATCACCGAGTGTATCCCAAATTCACTTAATCATCGTGCAATGAGATTAAGAAACTTTCTTCGCAACGAGTGGTGTAACATCACCACTTCACGTAAGAGAACGGTCCCTGTAACAGAAGGCATCACAGAACTACTTCCGAAAAAACCAAAGAGTATATTTCAAAAGTGGTTTATCACCTGGAATATTCTGAATTAAATAAAAAAAAATCTATTTTATGAGGTGCTTTCATTTTTGAGTGGTGTCCAGATATGAGCCCAGTACCGCAACAGCACCGGCTCAGGGCTCTGACATGCCATAGACTCCTGAATTACCCAACCACTTCACATACAAGACTTCAAAAAGGTAATGTAGTAAAAATGTTATACAATTGTTTATTTTATTCCGCAGTCGGTGGGTGACCAGGTTGAGATCTTCAACTTGCACCATTTAAGAACCTGGTTTAATCAATGGTGGTTAAAACCCCAGATTCGAATCCCGAATCCCAGCGAACTTGGCAGAGCGTTCCGACAGGGGACATTCCGAGCTCCTGCCTGGGCTGCCCTGCAACCTCACAGGATGTCCTTTTCGGGACAGTGATGGATTGGAGTGTGCCATGGTCGTGCTCCAGCACAGCGTCTCAGATTGTCACGGTGTCAGATTAGCAGACGCTGGCCCGTACTGCGACACCTCAGAGCAGGCAGCAAACCGACATGCGTCAGCAGTGACGATCGCACAGGCAGCTGGGTGCCTCGGAGATCGCAATGACCCATCAGGCATAACTGCGCCTGCACTGCTCTGTGCCTGGGTTCAACACGGTTGGGGGAGGAGGGGTGATGTTTAAGCGTGTGTGATAAATCCAGCTTCTTGAGTGCAGTGAGCAAAGGTCATCGCGACCGATGCCGGATGCTGTCAATAACTACGGTACCTTGCCATTGCTTCCTTCCTTCTGCCAGTTCCCACAACTGTTGTACATTAACGACACAACCTCCGAGGTTGGTTCTTACAGTCTGCTGCCAAATGTAATGAGGGTATTCCCCTTGGTTGCGGACCCGAGGTGCCACTCCAATGCCATCTCGTAATACCTGCCCTCCTCCGTTTTGTAAGCATATCCCTCCCATCGCAGCCCCCTCTTCTTCCTGTTCACATCTACAACACTTATTGCCACGTCCTATTATAAAATGTATGAGTTGTGTAACCCCATTCGTAACGTGTCTGTTTTGGCGCATTAACGCTCCTTGGACTTTACAATGCAATGTGATTGTCATAAAGGTATCACTGTGCGCACAGCGCAATACAGCCGCTGAGATGTGAAAGGTAGAGGTTTGGGAGGGTGTTTCACCACCCGTGGTCCGCCTTGACCAGCAACTCACCCAGAATGAAGTCGGTCCTCTTCTTGAACCGGGTGATGATCAGGTAGGAGGTGATGTAGAGGAACGTAAACAGCAAGAAGCAGATCTGAAACACAATGGAGATGAGATGCTTCATGCAAGTGGTCGAAGACCGAGACACCGTTGAGATCGCGAATACAAAACGGTTATTATATAATACAAAATAAAATCTAAACTATTTTTTATTTTACCAGGTAAGGGCCACTGAACTATATAGCTCTTTTTCAGAAGCAACCTGGCCACAAATGAAA